GGGATGGCAGAATACAGGGGCCCATATTACATTCCCTGCACCAGATAATAAACCAATTTTTGAGGAGCTAATCTGGAGAAAAAATGTTATCTTTTGGCAGATTTCAAACTTCAGCATAATTAGACAACAGTATCCAATGTCTCACAATATTCATACTCCTACCTGATTTCACAGAATTAGACTTGAATAGCTTAAACTCAAGGACAGGCTATGGGGCCAAATGGGTCTGGTAAGAATTATTTTTAAAACCCCTGCTTTCAAAATAAATAATGCAGCAAATCACTTAGGGAGAAGTCTGAGAATTTTCCAAAGCAGCCACTGAAGCAGATGAACATACAGATTCACCTGAAAGACAGGAAAGAAATTTGCGTGTGTGCCTGCAACTTCACAAACATGTGGTGCATGCAACTCCAGAGTGACTGAAATGCTGAAAGCTTCTCTAATCCAAAACTAAGCTGATTTTACACTACAACCACAATTATTTTCTTTCTTAAATCAAGCATGCCACTGCCAGCTCTGTAGCAGGTGCAAATCAGCACAGGCTTCAAGGGAGTAGTCTGATCTTCAGCAGCTGAGGATCTGGTGTAAAATGAGATCATCTGCTGAAAAATTAAGAGAAAGGCATTTCTATTTGTCATCTGCCACCTCTTATAATTGCTCAGTAATTTCTATCTTGCCCCTCTAGAAATCCAAGTGATTGACTTGCTTAGTGCTCTGGTTGTTCCCCAACATCAGCAAGCTCAGAGTACTAATGCCTTGTGTCCAAGGATCAATCCCCATAAGACACTAATTCCCAAAGGCTTTTGGCTGGCTTTTTTTCCAGATAGAAACCATAATACCATATCCTAGCTTTACTTACTCTAAAAAAAACCACTGCATAGCCTGCACCACCATATCCCAGACGGAAAACAACTAAGAAAGATACTCCTTGTTTCACTAGCAAGTATTGCATCCTAAAAAAACAACCAGAGTAGCAGATCTGAGAGAAGCCCTTCCACCGAGGCAGGTTGTTTCCCTGAGCAAAAACTGTATTCCAGACATAAAACTGGCCCTGTGATCTCCGCTGATCGCCTGGTGCTGCGCCGTCTGCCCGCGCTCCAATAAAGGCTTGGAGTTAGTGCCGGGAGGAAATGGAGCACCAAGGCAACAACATCAACAAGAGTGTTTAAGACACCATGGAGGTTTAAACTGCTCTAACTGGGTGGATGCCCAGCATGAGGGAGCTTTATGGATTAGTTAATGCTGGCATCTTTCTTCTGTAGAAAAAAAGACTGGCAGGAACCATCTGTGTCACGGTGTATGGCCGACTGCCATGTGACACACGGCCCAGAGGGTTTACAGAGCATCTATTCTGAGCAGCTCTGTAAACCCTAAGCAAGATGATCCCAAGAGCATAGAACAAACCTAAATAGCATTAGTTTTTCCACATTTAATGCATCCAAGTGTGCCAAAGGAAGAGAGCAGAACAGAACAAGGGAATCACCAAAACCTAGTTAAGATAAAATGTCTAGATGGACGTGACAGTTGCCATTCCACAGCCCAAGAATGTATGGAGGATGTAAGAACACAGTTGCTCCTTTTCTTAGCTCCCTAATTTTGAGCTTATAAGTGAGACATATGAACGACCATTCTCAGTTCACTATCTGCATTAGAACTACTTGTGTCCATTCCTTTAGAAGAGAAGGAAACACCCCAGAGATCAAATTATATTTATAGGAGAGACAGAAAAAATATTTCCTAGCCTGCTCATTGCACACAGCGCAAAATCCCAATCCCAGCAGCAGTGATTAACCCTTTTGATCTCCATTTATCAAACTTGCCTTTCACAACACATCAGTTGTAACTTGCTTACAAAAACTATGACAGTCAGAAGCTCATCAGTTTCTACTACCAGTAGAAAAATTCTTGCCAAACTTTCTTAAGCTCCACACAGTCTCAGATCTCCAGGACCTGCTGTGGCTGAATTTGACTTACCATCTTCCAGCAATGACTTTATTCACTGTTGTAAGTGGCAGCTCATGTCACATTCAAAATGTCATTTTACAACCACCTTGTTACATATCATGCGACTGCTCCAGATTCTTAAAAGTGAATACAATGTTTGGGTCCAGTTGGCAAAGATGCCCCCTCTTCATTTGCATAATGATAGGCTGCATTTTAATGCTACTTATGGTTAAGGGTGCCTGACACTTTCCATTAAGAAATTCGGCTTTCATTTACTAAAGACATTGCCAAACTCTCTGTGCTTGGTACTATATTTTCCTAGCCAATGTCTCTGTCTTGGGCTGAGTTATTTGGGAAAGTTTCAGTTAAAACAGTTTGGCTGTCTCCCAGAATGAAGTGAGGGGGGAAAAACAATTTGTCTGTATAGAAAAAAAAAGCAATAACCATTTAATGGAGAGGTTCTCACAACCATATGCTCTGAAGCAAGAACTTATAGCATTGGGGAAGGATTGCCTGTATCAAGCCTGTTGCTGCCCTCCCTTTCCCTTTTGGCCAGTTTTTCCTTTTGGTGGACTTCTAATTCTGTAGAAGACCCTCAGCTCAGGCATATTTTCCGGGCATGTATTTGAGCAAAATTCTCTCAAGATAAGTCTGCTCAGAATATGCTCCAGATTCACAGAGCTCTCACAGATAACTTTCCAGGACCATCTCTGCCAGGTAAGATGCTGCCTATCCCAGGGACAAGAGTCATTTTCCAGAAGTCCAATTTATTTCCTTTCTTCTTCTTCACCAAATCATGCTAAAATCCAGGAGATCAGAAGAGAGGCAGAGACATGAGGAGTCCTCCCCTTTCCTGCCATATAGTTTTCCCTATCTGTTCCTTGCCACTTCAGAGACAGAGAAGACTAGCTGACATGCTGAGTTTTGTGATGGCAAGATGGTAGCCTTCCCCTGGAGAGCAGAAACTGCTCTTCTCTTCAGCACAAGGATGTCCTAAACCAGGCTGGGCAGTCACACTCTCTGGCTTGGAAACCCTAAAGTCATCCCTTAACTCAGCAAAAGGAGCTGTGCTAGGGAGATCTCTTCCAAAGGGCATCAACCAAGAAAGGGATGAATTGAGAAAATAAAACATTCCTTCTTCAACAGCAATCAAAAAAGTCCAATGCAAGAATCTCAAATTCCATATATTCTCATTCATCACTAAAAATCATTTTCCCTCTGGAAGTATCATGCTTGTTCTCCATATGAATAAGCACAGGATACAGTGTACTGACAAGAAGAAATGCTGCCTAGGAGTTAAACCACAAAGTCAAAGGATTCCAATTCTATTCCTGGCAAATACCCAACACCAGCATTTGCAAACCAAGTGCCTGAAGCAAGGCACCAACATCCATATTCAGGCACTTAAACACGGAGTCTTGTATGCAACAGCCTTGCAAGGCCAGTATCAGTTACCCATGCTCCAAAAGTCTCTGCCTTAACTGTTTGGTGTCTTGGTGTCTAGTCAAGAGTGTTCAACTTGTGGAAATATGTAGGGAGGAAAAAACTGGACCAAACCACAATTAGTCTCTCTATGTCTTCCTACTGGCCAAAGGTTTCCTCCCCACTTAACACTCGACCATGGAAAGAGCCAATTCCCTATTTAGCAGCCATGGTGGGGCAGAAACCTGCCAGTGTGTAGCACATACACACTTAAGGGTTAAGAGTTCTCAGACACATATCCCCACCTTGATGGCACAGACAGTGATTGCTAGAGGAGGAATCAGACGTTTCAGGTGTTGTAGGGCTTGGTTAGACACAGCTCCACACAGATGCACTCCTCCTTCAGCATCGCACTGGGAGTCCCACCAATCACAGTGGGATTAAAAGCAGGAGAAATTACTATTTGTCATGATCTGGTAATCCTTGGCTGCTCTCTCCTATTTAATTATCAGATTGAAACTTCTTGTAGTTTCATGTTCCCAAAGGAAAGATTTCAGCAAAAATAATCTGCAATTAAACTCTTGTCCTAAATGTTCAGAAATAACTTTAGTCTTTTCAAAGAATCATAGTATCACAGAGATTGGCAAATACCTCCAAGGTCATCAAGTCCAATTTTGTCTGATCACCGTGTCAACAGGACCATGGCACTAATTCAAGTCATTGCTTGAACGCTTCCAGGGATGGTGACTCCACTACCTCCCTGGGCAGTCTAATCCAATGCTTGACAAGAGTTTCAATGAAGAAACTCTTCCTGATATTCAACCTGAACCTTCCTTAGTGCAGTTCCTTGAGGCCATTTCCTCTAGTCCCGTGGCTGGTTACCTAGGAGAAGAGATCAATCTCCACTTAGCTCCACCATCCCACCAGAGAGTTGCAGAAAGTGAAAAGATCTCACCTGAGCCTCTTTTCTCCAGGCTGAGCCCCCCCCAGCTCCCTCAGCTGCTCGTCATCAGACTTGTGCTCCAGACTCTTCCCCAGATTCTCTCTGTTGCCTTTCTCTGGACATGCTCCAGCACATCAATGTCTTTCGAGAAGTAAAAAGCCCCAAACTGGACACCAGATATGAGGTGGTACAGTTTCACCACTGTTGAGTACAGGGGGACAATCATTTCCCTAAAGAAGGACAATCACTTCCCTAACTTTACCCTTTTCTTAAAGCATTAGTGATTTCACCTGGGTTTAACAATGTATGCCAACTGTGAGCCTCTGCCTTGTAAGAAAAACAAGAAACAGATCCCCCAGGAAGAGCTTTTTCTAGATGCACAGAATTGTTCATAAGTATCAGATTTATATATTTATAATAAATATCTCAATATATAAATAAAGGCAGATTATCTGCTGATAACAGAATAATGAACTCTGCTCTCAAATTCCTTTGAAACAAACAGATCCTGAAGTCAACCAGTGCTTGACACTCATGAGGTGAGGGTTACCAGAAAACACATCCTTGCAATCCTTCCAGCAGATGCTGCTTCCCAAACAGGAGCTAAAGGGTTCCCTTCATAGTCTGGTGAGCACAGTACCTGTAAGAGGGGAGGAAGATAGGGGTCTGCTTTGGAAAAGCTATTACTTACCAAAATAGGCTGTGTCCTGACACAAAATTCTTCATTTTAATGCATTACTTGCCAATCCCAACCACTCCTAGTACCACGGATTAAGGCTATTTCCCTATTTCTTCATTAAAGCTGTGCTATCACCCCAGTGAGAGCAGGAACCCAGCCCAGCTGGCAGCACCACCCCCATGCAGCAAGCAATGATGGCTGAGGGAGGTCAGGTTGCTAGGAGAGCTTGGAGCAAGGTGGCAAAAGACAAGCCCTAGTGAGTTATGCCTATATGTGAATACAGCTTTAAATTTTGACTTCTTTCATAAATGCTTGATCCTATTTGCTAACTCGTCATTAGATGCAGCTTCATTCCTTTGCATCTTACCAGAGAGAATTCCTTTTTTTCCTGAAGAATTAAAAAAAGTGAATGCATACCAAATGCCTAACAGATGAAGCCATAACAAGCTGTTGCAAAGCACATAACTTGATATTGTTAAAACTATGTGTGTACCTGTTAAATACTAAAATATTCAGTGTTGTTATTATTAGGTATGTTTTAAAATCCACCATAATTTAATAAATAATGTTAAAGTATTTATAGATGGACCATTCTTTGCTAAGCAACTGGTTACTACTGTAACAAACATGCAATGCCAAATCTAGGCTTTTTAACTTCCCTGAAGTGTTTTTTCCCCTCCTATGAAAAAGCAGATGTTCTAAAGCAACTGCAACTGTAAACTTTGAACATGCACTCAAAGGCTGAAATCTAATATTTAAAATGAGCTGTTCTAGTACAAAATGTCTCCATGGTGACCCTTGGTAGCTGAGTGGGAACTAGATTTGGCAGGGAGTCCAAGCGGATGCAGCTCCTGTTGGTGGTATGCACTGACCAAGGATCCATTGCATCTGGGCTCCAAACCATGCCAAGGTGTCAAGTACTGCTCCACACTCTCACCAAAAGGAGCTAAATAAAGTTTTCAGCAAACTGTTTCCATCAAGCAAACAGATAACATGCTCAGCTAATTGTGAATTAGTAATTTATGTAATGAGGTCAGGCTTTATAACAAGATTTAACCCTAAGAGTAAATCTCCCTGCAACCAGTAAATAACCAGTTTTTCCAGTGAAGTGCCCACAGAGTTAAGAATATTAAATTCTTAATTGCTTAAATATCCATATACCTGTGCACTGGTAAAATTAAATTAAAGGCTTGCTTTGCTTTTAAATTAGGCACTTCAGATAACTCAAGCCTCAAAAAAGTGCACAAGAGCTCACCAAATAAACACATTACCAACAATTTTAACAAAATATTTAAGCATCACATACTATATTAGAATTGGAAGAAAACAAATTCTCTGCTTCATACAAAAAACCCAAATCCTGTAGTTCTCCAAAACTGTCCTGTTTTTTAGTTTTAACTGTAGAGGAACAAAAGCACTAGGATACAAATTCAGTTCTCCTTCTCAATCCACAATCTCTCTTCTGATGAAAGCTGGATTAATGCCAGCAGAGCTGACAGCAGTCCTGGCCTCCTGATGGGGAACACCAGAAAATTATTGTTACTGAAAATCCAAAACCCTACATAATCTGGTTAAGATTTAAGAACAAGTAATGTTTTCTCTAATAACAGTTTTCATAACAGAGCCTTTCTCTCATGATGTATTTTTCTTACAAGCAGGATGACATTGGCCAGGGACTGGGGATGGTTGCCAGTCAACTTGAAGTGCTTAACACCCTCCAGGAGATGGTGAGTGTACATGACTGATCCTTATATTTTATATAACCTAGAGAGAAACATGGAGCTTGAATGAAATTCAGCTGTGGGGCTGGACTCTAAAGCTGAAGGAGTTTATTAAAGCCCACCTGGGAGGGGAAGCAGGTTGTATAAAGCAAATTCTCAACCTTCTGAAGGTCCATAAGCCCAGGTGGTTTGAAGGAAGTAAACACAGTTTTAAAAGTAAGTCCTTTGTTCTGCTTCCTTTACAGACTTTAGCAAATCTCAGTAAGGTGAGAAGCCCTAAAGAATATACTGTATTTAGCCAGAAGAGTCAGGCAAAATCTTTCCTGGGACTATCTGCAACAATATTTTGATTTCAGATACAAGGCAACAGATCTGTACAAACCCTGCTGATTTCAGATGCGGGGTGTGATAGATTTACCCTTAGGGACCAGACCCAGGAAAGGAAAATTTCTGTTGCTGAAGTTTTACTTCTTTCTGGGATGTTCCCTCCTATTCCCTTGCAGCACACACACACACCAAGGAAAAAAAATATCTTTTTTCAAGCAAGCCACGATGTAGTGATCTCACCATGAGGTTTCATTTCAGCAGAAATTTTTTTATTTCGGACTTCTGAAAAAAACCATGGTAATTTGGGAGCAGTTGAATGTTTTAGTCACCAACATCCCAAGTCTTGGGACATTGGTGACTAAAACATTCATGTAAAACTGAGAATATCTTCATGTGACTAAAACATTAATATAAAACTGAGAATATCTTCATGAGGGAGCCAAGGAGTTCAGCCCCACTACTGGTCAGGATGTGCACATCTCACACTGCAGTTTGGACAGCAATGATCTTGGCCTGAGCAGACAAGGAGGCAGCTCCAAGACAACAATCTGCCAACTAAAACAGACATCCCAGGCTCAAATTCCTATCCCCACCATGCACAAGTTCCGTCCTAGCCCCCATCCCTATCATCACCTTGAAAAGAGATGACTCAGATCCAGAAAATATTTCAGGACCAGGGAGCAAATGAAAGCTGGAGCAGAGCTCTTGCTTGTGAAGTCTCAAAGGACAAATGAGGCAGCATCTTTCAAAGCAGGAGGCATCTTCTGTTCCATTTATGGCTAAGATTATGACTGGGAGAATTTAAAAGAAATAAAAGTTTCGGAGATCAGCCAGTACAGGAGCTTTGGCTGCAAGCACTCAAGGAAGAGACCAGATCTAATAACAACCTGCCACATCCTGAACCAGATCCGCTTCCCAAGTGGATTGTAAGACATAGCCCTGTATTTATTTTTGCCAAGATCAATCTTATGTGTATTTATATTGCCTGGACAAAGAAGGCTGACCAGAAATGAGCAAACAAAACCCACCTTCGTGTGCTGCCTGTGGCTCCAGTGGTCCCATTGACACCACCATCTCTCAGCTGAAAGTGCAGACACAAGGTGCCAGGAGTTTGTCTGATACTTGTAAAGGACAAAAGCATTTGCTACCCCAGAGCTCTGTTAGGTGATCCCAGTCTATTCTTGTTTCTTTTTGCTACAGAACATTAACATTGGCCCAGTGAAACATGTACAGTGAAGGAAACACTGTACTGGACAGGCACAACCTCAGTGCTTCAATCTGCACAGGCCTCCCAAGGTGGGTTTTCTCCAGGTAACTCAAAAATACCTCCTGCATCCTCAGTCCATGTCAGGAAGTACAAAACCAGACACAGATGGCCAGCATGATGATATCTGGTGTAAGAGTGACAAGCAGAGAAGAGTGAGCTACAAAAACAAAGTTCGAAGACAAAACCAGTCTGTTTCAATAGACCAACACACACTTGGACAAGCACCCTGTCAGGTACACACATTCCTCTGCAGATTACAGAAAACACCTCTGGGTGCCGGTGGCTCAGAGATAAGTCTGTGCACCTGAAAGCTGAAAAGCTGATAAAGACATTATTGTTACCTACAAACTTTTGTCATGGATGCAAAAACATTTGCACTTCAGTATAAAGAAGAGGACTCTGGGAATAATTTCATTATAAAGCTGAAGAGCTGCTTGAACTTGCTCTTCCAGTCCAGATAACTCTTGGTTGACTTTGCTCCTTGGCTCTTTTCACCCCTCTCAATGTAGAAGCTATCCTGCCCTGCTGCCCCAGAACTGATCCCAGCACTTATCATTTCAGTCAGGTCAGTTCAGTTTGCTGCATCTTAGGTTTCAAACTTTGGTGATGAACTTTCCATGATTTCAGACTTTAAAGGGTCCCCAGCCTGTCAGAGTGGCAGGTGAGGACACCCTATTCTAGAGTAAACAAACATGCAGATCTTTATTTTTAGTATTCGTGAAAAAATGTCTGAGAACAGATTCAATGTCAAAGAATTAATTCAATGCCAGAACACATTCTCCTCTCCAAGTCCCTCCCTCCCTTCCTCTCTCCTTCCTTCCTTCCTTCCTTCCTTCCTTCCTTCCTTCCTTCCTTCCTTCCTTCCTTCCT